GGGGGGGGGGGGGGGGTAGGGATCATATTAAATGAAATCTGTAAATAGATTAATTAATATTGCATTCAGTGCAGGTTTTTGAATCAATTTTTGAAAATGGTGATGTTTTCTGGTCAGTTTAAAGTCAAATTGTTCACATATTTAAAATATTGGGGGTAAATATTCCCACAACCTCTATTTTTGGAGGGTTAATTAAATAATTTTAAAATAATGAATTTCTTAATTACTTTCTTTCTAATTTTTAACAAAAAAGCTATAATTTTTAGCTTAAAATCACAACTTTAGCCTATGCTCGATACTGTAAATTGTCAATTAAAATCCCGGGTTTTAGTTAATTTTCGCCATTTTCCGTAAACTGGACGACGAAATAAAAATATACCTAAATAACGCCATGGAAATTGTTGATAAAAATCATATCTTAGATGGATGGACTTAGTTGTGCCTTAAACATAAAAATTGGTTTCTTATGCTTATTTTTATATAATGCGAACAATACCTGTAATTTTCTAACAATATCATTTTCTTTGCTATTGCTTGCTTTTTTTTAAGTAACCTTATCTATATATATATACTTCGCTTGTCTGTGTGTCGGTATGTATCAAATAAACGCGAAAACGGCTGAACCGATCGCGCCCAAATTTGTTGGGGTACCTTACATGACTAGGGTAGAACTACAAGTTTTCGTACTTTTAATATCCTTGACCAAAAAAATGCTAGAAAAGCATAAAACGGAAAAAAAATAGAAGGGTACAGGGGGTCCCAAGAAACATGAGAATTCAGTGACGAATTCGATATCGTCTTTGTTATGAATTAGCACTGTAATACCTAATTTCAAAAGCCATAATATTACTATGTCTGCTAGAGTTTATTTTATGAAAACGGTAAATGGCTGTAAAGATGTGTCTTTAATGTCTCTGCAAGATAAACAGTGAAGAAGGACAAGTTTACTGCGTTTGTATACTGAAATGGTTGAAAACATTGTAAAGCGGGTTGATAGAACAAACTTAGTAAGACACCCTTTTTCAGTCAAAACATAAACAAACAAATAGTAAACA